TGTGGATTGGAGCAAGGAGGTGGAACATGTCTTCAAAGAGGAAATCAGAGATTTTGCTAAATCTTTTAATAATCAAAGCCAAAGCTCCTGGTGGAAATAGCTATAAGAACCAAATCAAACCAAATCGAGCTTACTTTCCATCATCATCATCATCATCATCATCATACTCCCTTTAAAGTCAGTAGAAAGTTTGTTGCTTTTTATCACTTTTTACAATTCCCCGAAGTGCTTGGACAAATTAAAATTGTTTCATGTCTAAATTAAATTCTACATCTGGGCTAAATTCTAACCAAAAGTATTATTTCCTAAAGGGAGTGTTCGTGAAACATAAAAATAGGGTTCAGTATGAATAATTATTAAAGAGACAGTAGCCGTGACCTTCAACGATAGTATTGCTACACTAAACATTAATCTAATCAAAAATGTGGAAGATATTGTCGTTTTTCTGACACGAAAAAGGATAATTTCTCAATTGTTTCTTATAAGCAAGAAATGCGCAAGTCACTTTCGCAGAGAACCCTCAAATGAAAATAAATTTTTTAAAGAAACAAAAACATGTAATTCATACTTGATCACACATAACTGTTAAGATTACTGTTCTAAATCGGACATTGCCATCATTGTAGACTTGGCAATAATTTGGATCTCAATTTTTTTGCTAGAAACGCCATGTATTTCAGTATATCAGTCAGTTAGGACAGACTATGTAGTTCAGTATATCAGTCAGTTAGGACAGATTATGTATTTCAGAATATCAGTCAGTTAGGACAGACTATGTATTTCAGTATATCAGTCAGTTAGGACAGACTATGTATTTCAGTATATCAGTCAATTAGGACAGACTATGTATTTCAGTATATCAGTCAATTAGGACAGACTATGTATTTCAGTTAGGACGTACTTAGGACAGACTATGTATTTCAGTTAGGACAGACTACGTATTTCAGTTAGTACAGTACAAAGTATGTGTTTCCGTTAGGACAGTACAAAGTATTATTTCAGTTAGGACAAAGTATGGCTTCTGTTAAGACAGAGTATGTATTTCAGTAAAGACAGAGTATGTATTTCGACAGTTATGACAGATTTTGTATTTTAGTTAGGATAGACTATGTATTTCAGTTAGGACAGACTATGTATTTCAGTTAGGACAGACTTATTTCAGTTAGGACAGACTTTGTATTTCAGTCAGGACAGACTAAATATTTCACTTTCAGACATACCAGGCTATTTATTTCAGTTAGGACAGAGTTTGTATTTTGATTTAAATTTAATGTATATTAAATGTTTGATTATTGATTTTTAAAGCAAATAATCTAACTAGTAGCTTGAAAATTAACTTTTTAATGAAACAGGTCGGTTTACAAAATTAATGAATTAGGTCGGTTTACAAAATTAATGAATTAGGTCGGTTTACAAAATTAATGAATTAGGTCGGTTTACAAAATTGTTGTGTTTCATGTTCTTTGGCTGATTAACAACACTCGTCTTCCAATTCCAAACTTTTATGGATTCCACTGTACCTGCTACAAGCCCCCTGATGTATCTGGTTCAAGACTCAGTGCTTGAACTATCCTTGGATCATTTTTGCTTCCCTCCTAAGCAGTCAAATATTCAAAATAATGAGAGAAAAGAACTGAATTTATTGAATTGAATTGACTCAAGATTTTATTTCATCTTCAAAATTTACTAAAAATTATGTTAACAAGTGGAACAAATATTACAATGTAAACCAAGGGTTGATTGTGTTTGGCCAAAAAGCTAAGTAAAATAATACCAACCCAATACCTTGTCTTGTTAAAGATAAAACATGCATTTAGTCAAAATAGCATTATAAAACTTAAAACTTTTGTAAACTTTTGTAAATAATAATATTCTTAATTTCCATCCAGGAAATTATAATTTTCCTTCTTTCTTTCTTGCTAAATATTTTTTGAAAAAATTGGTAAAAGAATATTTTTCCTTGAATTCTTCCAGGGTTAGTTTGTCATCCTTGAACAAACAAATAATCCATTATTGGATGGAAGGAGTGGTGTAAATAGATGGATGAATGGGTGGAACCCTGTTTTGGGATGTTATTAATTGGGTTTCTCGATCTTTATTTGGGACTACCCCATAAAGTCTTAATACCAGTCGAAAGGCGTTTTGGTTTACAAGGATAGATGGACGGAAGGAACGATAGGTGGAAGGATAGATGAATAGGTGGACTGATTGATGAATGGAAGTATGTATTGATGAATGGAAGTATGGATTGATGAATGGAAGTATGGATTGATGAATGGAAGTATGGATTGATGAATGGATAGATAGATCAATGACAATATTTGTCTAACCAAAGATAATAGAACTATATAGTAGAGCTGAGCTCCTGTTCTCAGTTTACACACTCTTTACTGCTATATCCAAGGTAGCAGTTTGTACTGCTAATTTGTACTGCTAATTTGTACTGCTAATTTGTACTGCTAAGACATTTTTTGAAAATTACGTTTGAAGCCACACCCACTCTTTCTTATGAAGTTTTTAGTAGACATGAAAATTATGAGTTTTTCTACAAATGAGGAATGAGAATAGGATGGATTTAAATAATGAGGAATAAGAATGGAGTGGCTTTTAATTAATGATATTTGTTGTTCATGGAATGAATGGATGGATAATTTGTTGTTAATGGAATGAATGGATGGATTATTTGTTGTTAATGGAATGAATGAATGGATAATTTATTGTTAATGGAATGAATGCATGGATAATGTGTTGTTAATGGAATGAATGGATGGATAATGTGTTTTTAATGGAATGAATGGATGGATTATCTGCCTGATTTTTATCCATTTGATTGAAGATCTTCTCAACTCTTTTCTCTGGTGTTCCGTCCTCGTCTTGTGATTGCTGCCCCTGAAGATTAGAGAAGTCATTTACCTATTAGGGGTAAGAGTCAAGGGGTCATTTTGCTATGAGAGGACTGGAACATGAGGTCACTTTGCTATTAGAGGTCAGGGACATGAGGTTTTTTTGCCATTAGAGGTAGGGCTGGGCACGTTTTAACTTTTCAAGCCCTTTCGTTAACGGTTAGTTCCAACTGTTTTTAAAATAAAATCTCATGTAGCCGTTAGTTTTGAAGGGTAAGAACAAAACGAACAATTTTATTAACGGTTTATGAATTTGTTGATGGTTGTGAACACAGAAGACGACATTTAAAAACATCAAAACACTTTAAAAACAATTTTTTAGGCAGAAAAAAATCCACCGTTTTTCTAAAATCCGTTTCATTTTCGTTTTCAATCATTAATTTTTTCTTTAAAAATGGCTAATGCGTTTCGTTAACGATTTAAAAATTAATGCTGTTTGGCGTTTGTTTTTTTAAAAGCCTCCGTTTTGTTAACGGAAATTTTGCTATTAGAGGTCAGGGACATGAGGTCACTTTGCTATTAGAGGTCAGGGACATGAGGTCATTTTTCTATTAGAGGTCAGGGACATGAGGTCATCTTGCGGTTAGAGGTCAGGGAGATGAGGTCATTTTTCTATTAGAGGTCAGGGACATGAGGTCATCTTGCTGTTAGAGGTCAGGGACATGAGGTCATTTTGCTATTAGAGGTCAGGGACATGAGGTCATTTTTCTTTTAGAGGTCAGGGACATGAGGTCATTTTGCTCTTGGAGGTCAGGGCCAGAAAGCCAGGGTTCTTAACTTTAGAAACCGGAATTCAAGTCAAAGATTTTAAAGATTAAATTTGAGCAATATTAAAGTAAAAAACGTCATGAAACGGCCATTTTATTTTTTTTTTTTATATGTTTGAACAAAAATTTATAAGTAGAAGGTATTGAATATGTTAATTTTCTCAGATTCTTGTGGGGCTTTCTGAAAGACGAAAAAACATTTGATGTTTAAAATAAAAACCGATCACATTAGATAGGAATTATAAAGTTGGAAACCAATAATTAATTCTAATTGATTAATAGATTTTCTTTCATTGATTTTATGTTCTTTAATTACCAAGAGTCTAAATTAAGCTGGATATTTTTACCTAATTAATAAAACAGAAAAAACGAAAATGGAATCAAACATTTTCAACAATGAATAAATACTTGAAAATACTTCAAACTGCCAAGTATAGATTCATGAATTTGTTATGAATCCCTTTAAAACTGTAAATTTGATTTGAATAACATTTTTATTGAATTTAAAAAGTTTGAAGTGAAGAAAAGAGTTAATTAGCCAATTCTAAGATTGTTAAAATTATTTTGAGTATTTTTACTTCTTATTTTACGTATTCTCACCGCTTATTTTGCGTATTTTTATCGCTTATTTGTTAAAAATTACGTTTACTCAACCTATTTTCAAAGAAATGTATTTATACTTTTTTATTTATAATTAGGGTCATAATTTGGAATTTTTGGAACAATCAATAATTAATCCTACTAGTATTCGGAATTCCAAAATTTTGTTCACCATATTTGCATCTTGATGCAGATAGAAATTTGCTAGATTCTAATTTATCATTTAAGAGCGAAATCTTTCAAATTTTTAATATCTCCGTCAATTTTGAAGATAAAAAGAAGGCAAACCACATTTTAAAAAACTCATTAGACGTTAGGTCTTTATTTTGATACAATCTTTGTCATTTATCAACTATCGGAAATCAAAGACGATATCCATGTCGTCTCCTCTCATGTTTATTGGGACACCCTGCATACATTTACTTACCACCATTTGATAAATAGCATCTACTATATTATACATCTCATTTCTTGTAATATAGCCGTCATTGTCAACATCATACAGTTTAAACGCCCCTGAACAAAAAAAATCATCAAAATGACAAATTGTGCAAGAAAAATTGTTTGTTTTTTCAAATTTTTGTCAGACTATACGATTTTTTATTCGAATGTTTACTGCTAAAAATGTGAACAAACTTTTTCAGGAGAGCTATTAAATATTTCATCCCAGACTGTTGTGGTAGCTCCATATTCATTTTGTAAAATATTATTTTACTTTCAGAAAAGTAAACAAGCGGAAAGCTTGTTCCAACAAAATAAAATACTTGACATAAATTGTGGATGAAGGGAGGAATATGAAATTTTACAGAATATTACCAGACGTAAACAATCCACAAATATAAAACAAGTTTGCGCATTTTTCAAGCCATTTTTTTTCTTCAGATTCGTGGATTTCAAGATTTGATTCAACGGACAAGAAGGGGTTATATTGAAATATTGACTTCTACAAAAAAATAAGTTTTTTTTTATAAATTCAAACTCCCTTTAACTCATAAAAATCTTAGTTTACATATTGTAAACTTGAATATTTTATTTTATTTTTATTTTATTCTTAGTCCAGCAATCACTATGGGACTTAGAAGGACGGGAAGCGTTTGCTTTATTCAATTTGAATTCAAGTGGTTCATACAAAAATCTTTACACTTAGAGACTTGTCTTTTATACATTTTTACTATAAACGTCTCAACCGACAACAAATATATAAATGGTAAAATTGGGTTTTAAAGCACATTCCAGTTGTTCTACCTATCATCATCATCATCATTATCATTAATATTATTTTCATTATCTTCAAAATCATTATCAAAATAATCAGTTAAAACTTACATTATTCTCGTCGAAAACTCTGAAAACTAATGACGCAAATTTTGATGGATCACCGTGCGGGAAAAACTGGAAAAGATCTTTACATTTTTACTATTATTTACATTAAAATCTATTTAAAGGGACTGCTCGTGCAATTTTAGTGACTCTGCAGTAAAAGGTCGATGCCCGATTCACAACAGTACCCCTTCACACCTTTATCTGAGTAACAATGTGGAAGACATCGTCGTTTTATGTTTTTCTATGTAGCTTGAAAAGTGTTTAATTTTAACAATTATCTGCATTGTTTCAGTTAAATAAAATCACTATTGGAGAAATTCAATTTCAAACAAAGCTGTGAATCGGACATGACACTTTATCAATGTCAGACCCTGTCTACAATCCCAAAAAGATATCTGTTTATTTTGTGATCTGAAAGAAGAATAAATAAAAGATGACTGAACAATTATTAAATGTATCCAAAATATCAAAAGGGATCAGACAGAGTTGGAGAAATTTACGATTATTGCAGAAATTTCCAATATTTCTGAGAAAAGGGGAAAATATAGATTTTTAGTACAAATTGATTCAACATTTTGGTCCAAACCTTATCTAAAGTATTTTCAAGGGACTGTAAAGATGACAATGCCCGATTTACAACGGTATCCTTAAAAGCTTTGTCTGATCAAGTATGAATTATTATTATATATCCATATGTTGGTTTCTTAAAACTGTATATTTTCATTTGCGCATTGTTTCTATGCAAAAGTATTTTGCGCATTTCTTGCTTCAAAGAAGCAATTGAGAAATTTTCCGATTTCCAAATTTATGGAGGGTTACGTGAAATTTTGCTGACAATCCCTTTAACTTGGTCGTAGTATTTTCTAATTTTGTGAGCAGTCCTTTTAAAGTTCTTTTGATGAATATTTTAAAAATATTTATCTAGAATTCCGCCCAGCTGAGATAAATTGAATTTTTAATAGTTTATTAAATTCCAACCGACAGAGGAGTTTTTAAATTGAATAAATTGATGGGGTAAATAACAACATTTTTAGAAGCTTATTTCATGAATAATACATATATTGCATAGGTAAGATCAGAAATATGTGTTAAAATAGATTTTTCCCTTGTCTACAAGGGATTAGAATGCGTAAAGATCTAAAAGAGAAGAACAGAAAACAGACGTATGACCAGATAAAAAAAATATTTAATCCAGAGTTCAGAAAAAATTCAGATGCAAGAGTATACAGAGTTCAGAAAAAAAAGAAAGCAAGATACTCAGTGATTTCAAATTCATGGCTCAGAAAAAAAGCAAGATCATTTAGAAATAGTTCTTACTTGTAACACGGCAAACTACAAGGACATCCAACAAAATTCTTTATTTTTATTTTCAAAATTAGCCGAAGTATGATTGAAGGATGGACCAACAAGAAGAAAATGAAGAACAAGAAATAAAGAAATCTCAAATATTTTCATCTGATATTATATAAATATTTGAAAATATTGTAAAATAAATTATTAAAGTTAAAAAACATATAGTGCATAGATAATGGTTCTATGTCCATCTTGTAATAACACTACTTCAAGATTCTAATAAAATAAAGTCATGTTAGTGATCATTTCTCAAAAAACAATTTTTAATGATATCAAGGTACTATTTTTACTATCCGATGTATAAAAAAAAAGAAAAAAGGGAATGAATCATAAAACCTACTCAAAAGACCCCAAAATCATAACTAATATTTTAATATGCAACCAGATAAACTTTCTTTTCTTTTGGAAGAAAATCTGCTTACTATTAAAGATAATAATTTTGCAACATTCTACTAAAAAGTTAGCAATTCAAAACCTGGCCCCGTTGGGACAAAAATACGAAATAAAATATACAAAAGTTTGATTGTAAAACAAATTGATTAGATTAGATATTTCTCGGTTCAGACATTGCACTTTTTCCTGGAACATTTTAACTTTACCCCAACTCAACAAGTTTTGTTATTGCTTAATCAAACTTATATCTTTGTTTCATCAAATATATATTTTTGTTTAATCAAATATATATTTTTGTTTCATCAAATATATATTTTTGTTCCATCAAAAATATATTTTTGCTTTTTCAAACTTGTATTTTTGGTTAATCAAACATATATTTTTGTTTTATCAAACTTGTATCTCATCCTGATAAAACTTATGTTTTTGCTTTATCAAACTTATATTTTTGTTTTATGAAACTTGTATTTTTACTTCATGAAACTTGTATTTTTGTTTTTTCAAACTTGTATTTTTAACTTAATCAAACATATATTTTTACTTAATCAAACATATATTTTTGGTAAATTTATATTAATCAAACAAATTTTTTGAAAGTAATCATCCAATATTTGTTTTTACACAATATGTACACTGCAAACCAAGTCATTGCTTTCATTTAAAGTTAAAACTAAATTAAACATGAAATTACAAAGGCTGCTTGTGGGGAACGCCCTCCCCCCTTCCTGGAAAATTGGGGGGACGTGCCCCTCCCTGGAAAACTGGGGGATAACCCCCCCCCCGTGGAAAAAATAGAAGTGCAAGAAGAGAGAGCAGGCACCTTCTGGTCCTTCAATTTTGAATTTTAAGAACAGAAATTTCCCTGCGGTGCCACTTTTAAAAGTTTTTTTTTTAAATCCAAATTTCCCACCTTCCGCCCCCCAAGCTGCTCATAGTTTTCACATAAAAATGGCCAAATTCACTGAAAATTTTTTTTTGCCCCCCAGGGGGATAAAAATATTATAATCCGCCCCTGCATGAAAACATTATGAACAATTAACGTAACATTTTTTCTAAATCAAAAAACGTAAAAGGATCAAAATAAAATTATTTTAGGATCTAGGCACATTTTTTAAACTTTTGAATGCGCAGAATGATTTTTACTGTTCGCGGGAAGATAACACTATAATATTTCATATTTTTTTATTTTAAAACTGAAAGATTTCATTTAGATGCAAGAGGAGAATTAGTTTAGCTTATTCCGACCCATTTAAAAGTTCAGAGCTCAGAGAGAAAAAAAAAAATAATTGCTGAAAATCTCAGTTAGATAAAGTACTTTAAATTATCATTAGAAAGCTCGTCAAACTAAAGTATATTGCACGCAAGATTAAAATCTTAAATGTTTTTAATCATAACCATCTTATTAAATTGAATTATAGTTATCGAGAATAACTAAGACGTGTTGAGTACCTAATATGCTACCAGAGCTGAAAACTTTATAACGGTGGATTTCGAGATTAATGTATGATCCTCTCTTTTTCTTAATATCGAGACTAACCTAATCTTGTACTTGTATCCTGAAAAGTGTATAAAATTCAACCAATCAGAGTCGCGTATATGAAGCCGATAAATTTGAAATTTTGCGCGCAATTTAAGATTATATACAGAAACGGGAGGGACTCTCTAAATTAAAAAACCGGTTTTTGATTTTTCTCTACTATATCCAAGATAGAACGGTTAAAGAAGAAAAATAATCAAAACTGTGTTCATTGGATACTCAGATTAAGTAATCGGGATTAGGGATATCTCATTCTAAAGTTTTCAGCTCAGATAAATAATATGCTTTTCTTATAACTGTGCGTCAAATAAAAAGTAGAGAAGCTACGAGGTCACAAAGTCGTGGTAATAAAACTGGATAAATTTTACATTCTCGTTCTATTAGTTTGCTGTGAAAGAGAGACGAGAATCCTACTTTCTAGATTCTTAGATTCAGTGGGTTTCACTGAAAATGAGAATGTATAGACGACTAATTATGTTATTGTTTATATTCATTCCAAGTTTTAAAAAAGTTAAAATGCCGCTCGAACGGATATGTAAACAATACTGTTATCGAGTAATTACGGTTCGTCATTTGTCAAATTAAAGCATGTCATGCTATTATTTGGTCGCCTTTGAATATTAAGAAAAAAATAACCAAAAACCAGATTTTTCAGACAGCTTCGCGTCCCGATTCTAGTGACAATTTTAGATAAACAATTTGTAGTGGATACAAAACGCCCAAAAACAAAATGTCTAATAACAAAACACCCAAAACAGAACACCCAAGAACAAAACACCCAAGATTTCAAAATATCCAAAGTTACAAAACGTCCAAACTTACAAAATGTCCAAAATTACAACATATCCAAATGTCCAAAATTACAAAATGTTCAAAATTTTCTAAGAATATCAAAATAATAAATGTTTAATTACAACTTAAAAACTAGTATTTTTATTTTTAAACAAAATAGATTACAAATCCTTACTTACTAAGATACTAAAATATAAGATACTCAGTATGCAAGTTACTAAGATACTAAGATACAAAATGTTATATACTACATTTATTAATCAATACAAGACATTTTTAAACAATGTAAGACATTGTCAATTTTGGACATTTGGACATTTTGTAATTTTGGACATTTTGTAACTTTGGACATATTGTAACTTTGGGCATTTTTTATTTTTGGACATTTTGTATCTTAGTAGTTAGTTTGTTAGTAAGTAAGGATTTTCAACCCACATAGACATAGCTGTTACAGACAGCTATGAAAAGTTGCATCAATGTTCAAGACCTTGTCAATAATATTACAGACCAGGTCAAATAAACATAAAAATAGTACAAAAGAACCAACAAGTTGTAACTTTGGATATTTTATAAACTTGGACATTTTGTAATTTTGGACATTTTGTAAATTTGGACATTTTGTAAATTTGGGCTTTTTGTAATTTTGGGTGTTCAGTTTTTGGACGATTTGTAACATCGGGCGTTTTGTTATTGGACATTTTGTTTTTGGGCGTTTTGTATCCACTCCAACAATGGTGCTTCTTTTAATTTCGAGGATTTCGACCGTCCATAAACTTCCATGGGGCCATGTAAAACAATTCACAATAAATTTGAATCCAAACGGTTCAGCCGTATTCACATAAATAAAATGTTTCGATCCCTGAGTGTATATTTTGATGAATCCTGCTTCTGTGAGCTGACCATCAGGACAATCCTTCAAGAATCCTTTATACATTATACATAAACATTATACATGCTGTTATATGAGAAGGAACAGATGAAAAAATAATAAATAAATATAACAAATTATCAACCATTCTTGTTTTTGTTTTATTTGATTAATTTTTGAATAAATGTTTTTCCTATTTGTTCATTTTATCAGGACATGGAAAGTTGTCCTTTAAAGAAAATGTCTCGAAGAAATAAGCATTTTTTGGACAAAAATGGGATGGTTGAATTCTCTATTTTTTTAAGGTTTAAATTCTAAAAAACTAAGAAAATAAATGAATTTTCTGGCGGAAATAATAATTATTTCAAATAAAATATTATTTCATCTTGTCTTAAAATGTATACATTCACTTTCAAAAAAAATTAAAACAAATAAAAATTTAAACCCGGAGAGGGTTCAATGATCAACCCGCCTGAGCTCAGGGTTAAGATTTTAGAGATTTTTCTCTAGTAAATCGTTTGATAAAAATAACGCTAAAGATAGCTTTATTTTTCATAAATTTGAATGATTAGGCTTTAGGACACTTCGCACCCCTTGTTCTAGAAACAATTCAAGCGTTTAAATGTTAATTTTCAACCGACCATTGTTTATTGGTGATGCTCAAAATATTGCGGATTTTCTTTAAACATTCTTTAAACATATATACATAAACATATTTCTTAAAATAAAAAGAATTGTAAACTTTTAATCTTCCATAACCCTGGCGTCGTGTGAGTTGCCACAAAAAGTTTTTGACGTTTACTGGATAAAGACGACAAACATGATGAATATATATACAGGGTGTCCCAAAAAACCGATCTTTAAGACAGTGTAGAACTCATCATGGTTCAATTTTTAAAATTTGTAAATTTTTGAAATCTTTGTAACATTTACGATCGATTGAAACCAGTAAGAGGTTCGTACCACTAAAATAAAGTAAGTATTGACCGTTTGAAGTTTGCCATTTTGCCTGGGTTGAAAATCCAAGTTCTGTATCCTTCTTGGTAAATCTTCAGGTTAAGTTCCTCCCTTCTGATTGGCAAATATATATGTGACAATAGTTAAAGGGGTTCTAACATGTCGGGATATTCCGCTGGCACTCCAGTCCATTAACGCCTGTTCCAATCAGGGTTCAGTCATGTGTTTGTTGTCTATTCTGAACCAATAGAAATAGTACGTATCATAGATAAAGATAGATTGCGCATAAGACGACATTTTCCATCTTGAAAGATATAAATGTACAGAGATGTTTTAAAGATATTCCTATTACATAGATTAACTAGGTCGGTTGTGAACATTGGCTGTTCTTATGTCATTGAGTACTTGTGGTGTACATGATTCTCGTCAATATGATATATTGCTCAGTGAAATATTGTTGTTCAAATAGTTCCATTCCCGGAGTTATTTTACACTCTATTATGAAATCTATTAAAACACCAAACCACCCCGCTTATCATTGAAGTACACCTTGACCCCTAGAAGTATGAGTTCGCGGACTGTACAATTCTTGGTGATTTTGCGTACATAAGCTATCTATGTTTATTTATTTATCTATGAATAGTATGGCGGTAACATCTATCTTTCTATCTATCTCAATATCAAATCAGAGTTATGAATCCTTCAATCGGCGCTATCAGTAAATGGAAATATTTACTTCTATTACCTTTTTCTTTCATGCCATAAAGCAGGCTGTCAATTTCTTTTGTGGTACTCAACAGCAAGGAAATATTACTTTCCTGTGTTGTAAACTCAGGTCTTGCCATTATTTAACAATAACTGCATTTTTAAGATTTGTTTAAAAGATTTCAATGTTTTTCAGACACTAAGAAAATTCCATAATATGTTTAAAATTCGAAAAAAATAATATATGAACTCAACCAAACCAAAATGACAAACTTCAAAAGGTCAATACTACCTTAATTTTAATGCTACAAACCTCTCATTGATATCAATCTATAGGAAATGTTCCAAAGATTTCAAAAATGTACACTTTTTTAAAAATTGAACCATAGTGATGTCTTAAAGATCGTTTTTTTTTGGGACACCCTGTACGTTTACTGAATAAAGACGACAAACAGGATAAATATATGCGAAATAATTTATTAACTTACAATATGTTTCTGCGATTAACCGGTCCACGGTATCCTGCTTCAGCTTCGAATTCTTTTTCCCCATTGTTTCGGTTTTAAAACTTTTTCTTTTTCTTCAAATTCTTCTTTCCCTTCCTCCAATTTTTTAAAAAGATTTAAAAAAATGTTTTTCTACAATTTCGATTACATTTTTATTTTCTGAAATATAAAACGAAATCATAATCTTATTACAGAAAATTTTACAAGATTATACGTTTAGATGAATAGTTAGATAGACATAAATTTAAACAATTTAATTGGTTTCGAATACTTAGAATATCAATAATTATTAGAATATCGAGAATTATTAGAATATCAAGGACTTTACAATTATTTGATATAATATACATATATATGTCTCTGAACTATGAAATATATGCAGTATGCCCTTTGTCTTGCGGTATTTTAAATACCATCTTTTTAGCATTAAATATTCATAGTTAGGGCTACAGAAAAGTATTCGAGAATAGGTAAGGTCAACCTAAAGGGTATAGCTGCTTGGCGCTACTTCAAAGTCGATCTGGTCCATGTAGTTGATGCTAATGTAAGATCCTGCAAATTGACCCCCCCTCTATTTTCATATTGTGATACAAATCTATAACATTTAATACGTTTTTAGAAAGCCCTTAAGTGTATTATATATAAGGGTATCCATGATCAGATACCAAGACAACTTTTTTAACATTTAAATCTTCTTTTTTACGCTCTAAAGAATTTAATTGCTTTAAAATCCTCAGAAAATTTACTGACAAAATTTCATTCAATTCAAATTTTGAGAATGGAAAGTTTTAATTGACAATACTTAAATTGATCAGAATATTCTATTGTATTTGTTTTCGTAGTTAATCAATATTGACATTTAAATATTACATATATATAATACTAGCTGAAGGGCCAGGAGCTGCCCGAAGAAAATAAAAATAAAAATTTGAAGAAAAAAAATGTCATCCCATTTTAAAGAAAAACATAAAATTTTCATTTTTGATTTGATTCGACCTTCTCTCTTTTTACGGTCAAAATAATTTATAAAAGTGCATACAACTGATTTTGAAGTAGTTTAAGTTCGAAAATAAAAACTTTCAGAACGGAAGAGAAAATCTATAAAGCCCTTTCTTTTAAATAGAAACTGAAATTCTATAATTTTATCGTTGCTAAGTTCAAAATTTAGTTTTGTTTTAAAAGTTTTATATATATATTGTAGGGTAGGAGCAGAAACTGTAGAGGAGTAGGAGTAGGAACTGTAGAGAAGTAGGAGTAGGAACTGTAGAGGAGTAGGAGTAAGAACTGTAGAGGAGTAGGAGTAGGAACTGTAGAGGAGTATGAGTAGGAACTGTAGAGGAGTATGAGTAGGAACTGTAGAGGAGTAGGAGTAGGAACTGTAGAGGAGTAGGAGTAAGAACTGTAGAGGAGTAGGAGTGGAAACTGTAGAGGAGTAGGAGTAGGAAATGGAAAAGAGTAGGAAATGGAAAAGAGTAGGAGTAGGAACTGTAGAAGAGTAGGAGTAGGAAATGTAGAGGAGTAGGAGTAGGAACTGTAGAGGAGTAGGAGGAGTAGGAACTGTTTAGGAGTAGGAGTAGGAAATGTAAAAGAGTAGGAGTAGGAACTGTAGAAGAGTAGGAGTAAACTGTAGAGGAGTAGGAGTAGGAACTGTAGAGGGTAAGACTAGGAACTGCAGAGGAGTAGGAGTAGGAACTATAGAGGAGTAGGAGTAGGAACTGTACAGGAGTAGGAGTAGGAACTGTAGAGGAGTAGGAGTAGAAACTATAGAGGTGTAGGAGTAGAAACTGTAGAGGAGTAGGAGTAGGGACTGTAGAGGAGTAGGAGTAGGAACTGCAGAGGAGTAGGAGTAGGAACTGTAGAGGGTATGACTGGGAACTGTAGAAGAGTAGGAGTAGGAAATGTAAAGGAGTAGGAGTAGGAACTGTAGAGAAGTAGGAGTAGGACCTGTAGAGGAGTAGGAGTAGAAACTGTAGAGGAGTAGGAGTAGGAACTGTAGAGGAGTAGGAACTGAGGTTAATATAACCAACCAGGGGAGGATACAATGGAGGTCTCCACTGAGCGCCAATGACGTCAGATTACGCGGACTGAGGACGGTTAAAGAACCGGGAGTATGAGGGGTTAGAAACGGGAATCTGGGGAGATAAGGACGGGGTAGAAAATACATAAGTGTAGTAAAAGGGGAGATAAACGAATCCGGGGAGAGTAAAAAAGAAACAGAATTAAAAAGGACAAAAATAGAAATGATGGGGAAAGTACGGGTAAACGATAAAACAAAAATGTTCAAGTAAAAGTATAGGGAAGGAAAAGGAAGGGAAGGAGCATACAAGGATATTAAAAAGAAAGAACAGACAAGGAAAGCACAAGGAAAGAGAGAACAGAAAAGGAAGAAATGGACAAGAAAAAATAGAAGGAAGAAATAAACAAGAAAAAATAGAAAGAAGAAATAGACAAGAAAAAATAGAAGGAAGAAATACACAAGAAAAGATAGAAGGAAGAAATAGACAAGAAAAAATAGAAGGAAGAAATAGACAAGAAAAAATAGAAGGAAGAAATAGACAAGAAAAAATAGAAGGAAGAAATAGGCAAGAAAAATAGAAGGAAGAACCAGACAAGAAAAATTACAAGGAGGGAACAGACAAGGATAGTACAAGTAAGGGACAGATTGGAAAAGGAAATGAAAGGAACATACTATGAAGGAACAGACAAGGAAAGAACAGGTAAGGGACAGACAAGGAAAGAACAAGTAAGGAGCAGACAAGGAAAGAACAAGTAAGGAACAGACAAGGAAAGAACATAGAAGGAACAGACAAGGAAAGAACAAGGAAGGAACAGACAAGGAAAGTACAAGGAATGAACAGACAAGGAAAAGTACAAGGAGGGATCAGACAAGGAAAGTACAAGTAAGGGACAGATAGGAAAAGGAAATGGAAGGAACAGACAGGAAAATACTACGAAGGAACAGACAAGGAAAGTACAAGTAAGGAACAGACAAGGAAAGAACAAGTAAGGAACAGACAAAGAAAGAACAAGTAAGGAACAGACAAGGAAAGAACAAGTAAGGAACAGACAAGGAAAGAACATGGAAGGAACAGACAAGGAAAGAACAAGGAAGGAATAGACAAGGAAAGTACAAGGAAGAAACAGACAAGGAAATGAAAAAGTACAAGGAAGGAACAGACAAGGAAAGTACAAGTAAGGGACAGATCGGAAAAGGAAATGGAAGTAACAGACAAGGAAAGAACAAGGAAGAAACAGACAAGAAAAAGTACAAGGAGAAACAGACAAGAAAAAGTACAAGGAAGGAACAGACAAGGAAAGTACAAGTAAGGGACAGATAGGAAAAGGAAATGGAAGGAATAGACAAGAAAAGAACTATGAAGGAACAGACAAGGAAAGAACAAGTAAGGAACAGATAAGGAAAGAACAAGGAAGGAACAGACAAAGAAAGTACAAGCAGGGAAAGTGCAGGGAAGGAAAGTACAAGGAAGGAACAGACAAGGAAAGTACAAGGAAGGAAAGTGCAAGGAAGGAAAGTACAAGGAAGGAACAGACAAGGAAAGTACAAGGAAGGAAAGTGCAAGGAAGGAAAGTACCAAGAAGGCACAGACAAGGAAAGTACATGGAAGGAACAGACAAGGAAAGTACAAGAAAGGAAAGTGCAAGGAAGGAAATTACAAGGAAGGAACAGACAAGGAAAGTACAAGGAAAGAACAGAAAAAAAAGAATGGACAAGGGAAGAACAAGGAAAGAACGGACAAGGAAGGAACAGACAATGAAAGAACAGACAAGGAAAGAACAGAAAAAGAAAGAATGGACAAGGGAAGAACAAGGAAAGAATGTACAAGGATAGAACAGACAAAGAAAGGACAAGGAAGGAATAAACATTGCAAGGAAAAGGAAGGAACGAACAAGTAAAGAACAAGGTAGAATTTAAATGTTGTATTGAGATTTGTATCCTTTCTAAACTATGAAATGAAATTATCAACAAAAGTAGGTCTATACAATTGAAAGTGAGGTTAATTTCAATTCAAATTGACCTCAAAAGACATTTATGGTTAAACAGCTAACTTTGTTACCCTGGCCTGAACCTGAGACTTGGAAGGTCAGGCCAAATCACGGGTTGGACCTTTCTTCACAACCCCCCTCCCCCCCCCCTTGTTTGTTTCTACATAATAAAAATGCCTTGATCGGAATAAGTAGTAAGGATATAATGAAATTTAGGGTCAGAAAACCCTTAGGTCTGTATATGTCAGAAAACACTCAGGTTAGTTTCCTCTAGGTCGGATGTGCGAGTACCCGTTAGTTCTAGTGATACGACACCCCTGTGAGTATGAAAATAATGAAGACGACTTTTACTATTCTTGATAATTAAGCAGCAGGAACGCGGCACAAGTACACTTCGTAACAAATGTAAACAAAACAAAAAATTATTCCAATTCCAAAACTACAGAAATAAGAAAGTTACTCTGCTCGAGACATCGATAAAAATCTTTTAATTGAAATTGATTTTTTTAAAACTTTAGAATAATTGTCTCATTATCTTTCGCTTAAAATAAGTTGAGTAGTTCAATTTATTAAATTCGAAAACATTTATTTAATTTTCAGATTTGATTTTAAGATAAAGAATGGGGGTTGCACTGATAGCTGGTGCTGGGCCAGGTACTGGGAGAAAAACATACATAATTTAAGCACAAATATAGAGCTTATTAAGGGGATGTTTATCCCTGCCCCAAATTATATACTTAGTAAGAAAAATGTAACAACAACATAATTATAGTCTTACAACAGAGTCTCATTATTTCTAATGGTATATATTTTCAAACATGAAAATTAGACATTATCTTGTTGTTTACCTTATCTCCCCAAATTTGATACTTTGAATGTAAAAATAGTTTTTCCTCCTAAAAAATCACTTTTTTTCCTAAATATAGCCAAAATAAACTTTCCTATGATGCTTAAGGCGGCAGTGGAGGGGGGGGGGGGTCAAAATGATTTTTAAAAAAATACCTAACCCTAGTAACAATTTTGTAACTTACGTTGAAGTTAAATTGACCAATTAATTGTCATTAAAGTCATAACTTGATTCTGAAAGTCATATTTCAGAGATTATGAATCTCAATAAACAAAAACATGTTCTTTTGAGGGATTGGAGGGGCCGTAGCAAAACTTTTTGCTTCAAAAGGCTTTCAGGTAATTTTCCAACATAGTTGTAATCATTTCATTGTATGTTTTAACTTCATGTTAAAGGGACTGTAAGTGTAATTTCATGTGACCCCCAAATACACAGATGGCAATACCCGATTCAAAACGATACTCTTAAAAGCTTCATCTGAATAAGTATGAATTAGATATAACTATTAAAATGGATTAGGTTTTTAATGTGGTTTCTCTAGAAAAGTGGCTTGCGCATTTCTACTGCTGGGAAACATAAAGGAATTATCAAAAAGGTTACCGTTGTGAATCAGGACTATTGCCTTTCTGTCGACTATAAATTCTTTGTCTCCTAAAAGAGGATAAATGTGATATTCAAAAATGATTTCCCCATTTGTAACGTCACCATTTATCTAAAGAGTCAGTAGACGTTTTTTAACATAACCCTCTAAAAGTTGGATTAAGCCTAGGATATGTTCTATTTAGAATTAATTATTTTCAATATCGGCTTCTCTTTAACAGTTTTTTGCAGATGTAAAACAATGATATCTTCTTTATTTTTAGTCAGATCGTTTAATGGGTACTGTTGTGAATCAGACATTCATATCTGGGAATTTGGTTAGGTCACTTGAAACTATAGTTCCTTCAAAAGATTTTGTAACAGAGTTGCCAACCCTGGGTAGTTTTTTTTAAAGGTTGCAACCTGTTTTTTTTAAACCCGAAGGATTTCACCCTTAACCTAGCTTTTGGTGCATTCTGCAGTAATTTGCAGTATATTGACCAAAGATATAGTAGCGTTTAGTGGAGAGTGGTTTTGGTGTTTTCTTCTTATGTTTAGATTCGTCATATATATCAATACAATGAAGACGATGTCCGATTTATGGATACACATAAACATGGAAACTAAGAGAAGCTGCAAATTAATAGCTTCTCTTCGTTGACTTGTTTGCTTGTAATTTGATGAAAAGCTTGTTAGAAATCAAAACTTAAAAAGAACAGTTGTCTTAATTGTATTCATATAAATGCTGTCTTAACTTGGTGTCTTTTTATTCCAAGCAGTTGACAACCCTGTTTTACTCCAGATGGTTGGCAACCCTGTTTTACTCCAGATGGTTGGCAACCCTGTTTTACTTCAGATGGTTGGCAACCCTGTTTTACTTCAGATGGTTGGCAATACTGTTTTACTTCAGATGGTTTGGTAACCCTGTTTTACTTCAGATGGTAGGCAATACTGTTTTACTTCAGATGGTTGGCAACCCTGTTTTGCTACAGATAGTTGGCAATACTGATTTACTCCAGATGGTTGGCAACCCTGTTTTGCTACAGATAGTTGGCAATACTGTTTTACTCCAGATGGTTGGCAACCCTGTTTTACTTCAGATGGTTGGCAATACTGTTTTACTTCAGATGGTTAGCAACCCTGTTTTACTTCAGATGGTTGGCAACCCTGTTTTACTTCAGATGGTTGGCAATGCTGGTTTACTTCAGATGGTTGGCAATGCTGTTTTACTTCAGATGACTGGCAACCCTGTTTTACTCCAGATGGTTGGCAATTCTGTTTTACTTCAGATGGTTGGCAACCTTGTTTTGTAACCTTTTCATTTTGCCAAGGTTTGTGTCGCCAGAAGAAATGGAGGAAAGTTGGCCCCCCTCGTTCAAGCAATACAGGTATACAGGGTGTCCCAATATACATGACAATTCAGGAACATGGTGTTCCAACATACATGATAATTCAGGGAGAATGTGTCCTAATTTACATGATTATTAAAGTACAGGGTGTCCCAAAATACTATAAACTTGATTGATATTAACCCTCAATTGTGACGAATGAGTCTGCATATTGCAGAAAAGGCATTTATTTACAAGTACAACGATACTAATTAGTAAAACTTATGGTTATTCAGAACACATATTGAAGCGTCTGCCTCTACGACGGATATTGAGTTCATCGACTGCCTAGTAGGGATCTTGTGCAGAACTTACTCCTCCATACCCCACTTCATGTTAGATTCCCCTTATTTCAGTACGTTCAACCCATAGATAAATAAATAAACATAGATAGCTTATGTACACAAAATCACCAAGAATTGTACAGCCCGCGAACTCATACTTCTAGGGGTCAAATTGTACTCAGGAGTGAATTTTATTGACGAGAACTGAAGAAGGACATGAGAAGGACTAAACTAACTTAAATTTCTCTCTACAGAACTCATGTACACCACAAGTACTCAATGACATAAGAACAGCCAATGTTCACAACCTTCCTAGTTAATCTATATAATAGGAATATCTTTAAAACATCTCTGTACATTTATATCTTTCAAGATGAAAAATGTCGTCTTATGCGCAATCTCTTTTTATCTGTGGTTCACCCCAAGACAAGCAATTCCAAGCATCATGTTTGGGTCTCAGGCTAACCCAACTTTCAGTTGGCGTTAGATTCTGTATACAAGCACTACATGCTCCCCCAGCTATGATTATTGAATAGGGGTATTTATTTCCACAATTACTAATTTACATGTTTTTGACATAAATCATTTATTCTCCTGCCATCATACATGACAATTTAAACGTTGCATGAAGGGTTCACTTCATAAGATCAAAACAGACTGAAGATAAATTCCCAGTTTCTTGTTTTCAGGGTTGTATAATTTTAAGAATTTGAAGATCTGGGGGGGAATGAAAAATTGAAAAGTTTTTTCATACTTAATACTTTTTACCCAAGACTTTCTTTATTTTCTGCAGTGCCTAACTTCTGGTGAAAATAAAGACTTTCAAAAGGGAAGGGGGGTGGGGGGAATGGTTTTAATGAAAATTTATGGATTCCAATTTTTAGTCAAATGGAGGACAATGTGAAGGATTCTCTTGTGATTTCAGATCAGAGGATTCTGTTAAACATCTTGTACATGAAGTAGAGGAGAGGTAGTTGATGTTGATGTTGATGTTGATGTTGATGTTGATGTTGATGTTGATGTTGATGTTGATGTTGATGTTGATGTTGATGTTGATGTTTATCTTGATCTTGATCTTGATCTTGATCTTGTTCTTGATCTTGATCTTGATCTTGATCTTGATCTTGATCTTGATCTTGATCTTGATCTTGATCTTGATCTTGATCTTGATCTTGATCTTGATCTTATTATTATTATTATTGTCATCAGTAACATTATTGTTTTACTTAGATATGGAGGAATTGATATTGGTGTACACAACATTGGTGCAAATATTGGACATGTACCTATATGCAGTACAACGACAAGGTACAATAATTGAACCTGCTGTAAAGCCAACAAATCAGCACTTTAGATTGTATTTGTGTATACAGGGTTTTCAAGGACCGAAACTTTTAAAACATGACTTTAAAAAAAGAAACGTTTAAGTGTACACATTAATGTCTTTTATTCTTAAATCGTCGTTGACTGTACTTTCAACTGCACACTGTACAAAGAATTTTTCGAAATGTCTTCATTATAAACAAAACCACGTGAAAATGTACAAAACTGGCGACATTTATAGCACTCTACTTAAGTGCCACCCGGATATATAAATATAAACAGTGTCCGAATTTAATGAATTTGAGCTGCGTCTCAAAACCACCAAAAACAGGTTTAAATTGAGCGCCGGCTTAAATCTTGAAAATTTTAATACAATTATAAGTGAAACCAACCATATTTGAGCCGCGGCTCAAATTCTTTAAATTCGGCCTCAGTAAAGATTATTTTTAGGAAATTCACAAAAATTTGGGAGATGGCAGCACTTTCTGCTTTTCTGTTTGGAAGGATTGTAGCAAAATTTTCGTTTATTTGTTTAAAATTTTAAATATTTTATCCTTTTTCTTTTTTCATTTTTTCTTATTATCGTTAAATGAGATTTTATTTTCTAAATATACAGTGAGCACCAAAAATCTTAGGATAAGGAAGACGACATTAAAGCAATACTTAGGCGTAATTGATATTGTTATGTGTTAGTTTTACAAACTTGAGTCTAAAAGTCGTCTTCCGTTCCCATGGATTTTACTGTAAATTAACTTTTATATTACTTATTAGGTAAAATGGGTCAGTGCACAATACACAATTACCGTCTCTCATGTACATTGGTCATTAAAATTCATTACTTGAGTTTTCTAAAAGTCGTCTTCCTTTTCCAGAGTTTTATCGTTGTCACTTAAGTAACTTTTAAATCACTTATTAAGTGAAATGAGTCCGTGCACACTGTGCAATTACCGTGTCTCATGTTCATTGGTCTATTAAAATTCATAACTTGAGTCTAAAAGTCGTCTTCCAGAGTTTAAACGTTGTCACTTTAGTAACTATTAAATTACTTATTAAGTAAAATGGGTCAGTACACTGTAGCATGTCATCAGACTATTTCATCATAACCTGAGTTTTCTGGTTCTCATTGTGTCATACAGGGTTACCCACAAAGGATGAGACTTCAGAGACAATTTCACGGGAAAAATACTGTCTGTTTCATTATATTCATGCAGTTCCCTGCTGCTTTAATCTTGTCGCTTTCTATGTCAAATCACCATATAAGCCAGTAAAAGAATATATGCAAGGTAGAAGCAGTAGTCGTCATATTTCAAGAGTCTTAAGTCGTCTTTACAGTTTCATTCTTTGTGGGTAACTCTGTATGTTATAAATAAAAAAACAAAATCATAAATGGCAAACTTAAAACTAAATTAAATTGTTTTTCGGGACACCCTGTAAGTCTACATTTTATCAACTATTTCGGGACACTCTGTAAGTCTACATTTTATCAACTATTTGCTACTTTTTGATTAGAGAGCTGGCCAATAAGATGGAGACTAAAGGAATTTTTTTTTACAAAATAAAATGAATTTTTAAATAAAACCATGATTCTATTGATTTATAATAAAAATATTATTTAATATTTTTGTCTCGTGAATTATAATTTTAAACGTATTTATCGACAATATTTTGAAAAGCTGAAAATGTCTGATTCCCAACAGTTTCCTATCAACCGTTATCTGATCTATAATGTAGAGGATATTGTCGTTTTTCAAGCTTGAAGATAATTTGATAATTTCCTCAAATGTTTCAGAATTAAAAAAATAATAGAGAAAATACACTTAAAAATCATCAAATAATTCATGATATCTCATTTATTCTTGATCAGAGCTGAGGACCATTGCGCATTGGACGGAAATCCCACTTAATAAAAAGAGGTCCACTTGAAATTACGTCTACAGTCCCTTTATATGAATAAAAGAATTGTAGGAGCTGGTTGTATAATATTTACTGGTGCTACAGCTAGTACCAGAGGAGGAGCAGGATTCTCGGCGTTCAGGTTCCAACTTTATCTACAGTAAGGGGATCGTTTTGAGCTCCGCATTTACACATTTAAGGTTGTGATGCTTTAAAGGTGCTCTAAAATGATCTGAGATGTTTCATACACAGATTTTGCTTGTATTGCATTAAGCAATTTCTCTGACCAAAGACATAAACCAAAATGATTTATGAACACGTTTTCACAAGTGTCCAATATAACACGGAAAGGAAATTTTCTTACATTAGTTTTTTTCAAAGATTAAATAAAAAAGTGTAAAAACAGAAAACAAAGAACCAATGAATTTGAACTTATTTTACTGTAAAAAAAACTTTTATCTAAAATTATCTCTATTATTAATAATTTTGTCGGACACAAAAACTAAGTTGACACTTGTGACGACAGAATACAGCTGTACTGAGAGTGTACAAATTCTACGTTACCATCTATTCTACTAGAATCTATTTGGTTTTCACCACTCCTTTTGAACAACTGTTTTGTTAAATATCTTTGTCCAAAGTAATAATTAAGCATGATGTAAGAATAGCAAACATTTCTATCATAACATTTTTGAGCCACTTAAAAGTAAAATAACATAGAACGTTAAAAAAGGACCTCAACAGGATGTCCATCAGTATCTACAGTATCTACTTAAACTTGTGGAACAGGGAGACGAATGTGAGGCTCAAGTTCGGATTTAAAACAGTCCAATAAACATGAAACACAGGAATTGTGCAGTGTACACAGACCTATTTAACTTAATATGTTCATTTTCAAGCAGTGGTAAAACTGTCTGCTTTTTAATAACATAAAATTCACACAATATTGCTGAAATGTCGTCATCTTGTTCTATAGTTTTATTGGGTCTCACTGTTTATTCCATTAGTTCCTAACTAAGAGGGAGGGGGAGATAGGGGTTGTTTACATATTTTATTTTATTTAAATATTTTTCGCGAAATTATTATTCGCAAAATTTCGCTTAGTTTTCCCATTTTTCGCTTCATTCATTTTCGCGGAAAAATGCGAAATTTCGCGAAAAAGTTAGCGAAATACGAACGAAAGTTTTTTGCATTTTTTCGCAAAACGTTTCGTTAGTTGCAAACCCTGCTTCATTTTCACGAACACTCTCTTAATATAATTGTTTAAAGTGACTGTAAGCGTAATTTTAAGTAAGATATCAATGTCCTACTTACAACGGTACCCTAAATAGAAATACGCATGTCAGTTTTGTAGAGAAACCACAATTGAAATCAGTTTTCTAAATATTTGATACATATATCAAACTTGATCAGACAAAGCTTTTAAGGGTACTGTTGTGAATCGGGCATTGGAATATTTTTATGGAGGATTATAATTTTAATTATTTAATGTTTAGCTCGGCAAAGATGGCCAAAAGAGCTCTGGCACAATCAATGGCCAGGGAACTTGGACCAAAAGTAAGACATGTTTTCTCCATTTTTGGTCGCCATTTTTTTTGTAAAACCAATTTTTTATGCAAATAACGACGTAACACATTTTTGTTTCTTAATGATCTGAGGGCAAAATTCTGTTGATTTTGGATTTGTAAAAATCGATTATGATATATGTGGAATAAAGAAAAATGGGCCCCCACCGCCAGAGTTTTGCTAATTAAGAAATCAGAGTTGAAAACTTTAGAATGGTGGATATCGAGATTAATGCTGATCCTCTCTTTTTCATAATATCGAGACTAATCTAATCTTGTACTTGTATCCTGAAAAGTGTATAAAAATTCAACCAATCAGAGTCGCGTATATGAAGCCGATAAATTTGAAATTTTGCGCGCCATTTAAGATTAATATACAGAAACGGGAGGGACTTTCTTATCTTAAAAAACCGGTTTTTGATTCTTTTCTTCTATATTCAAGAAAGAACGGTTTAAGAAGAAAATCAATAGTGTGTCCATTGGATTCTCAGATTAAGTAATCGAGTGATATCTCATTCTAAAGTTTTCAGCTCTGGTTGCATCATAGACAGAAAACCATTTTTTAATAATTTTAAGAAACATCTTGTAAAATCCATTTTTTTAATTTTTTTAAACACATTTTTTTGAATGGTCTGCAATTTTGACCTTTCATTTCCAGAGAGGCTTGTTCGGTTCACCACGTTTTAACATCTTTATCTGCGTTACAATAAAGAAGATATCGTCGGTTTGCTATATTAAAACGTGTTGAACTCCCAAATATAAGTATTCAGAAAATGAAGATATTTCATTCATCCAAAGGTTTACTGCTGTGAAAGGGACATTTTTTTCAGGGAATACATGTTGCTCACGTGATTATTGATGGAGTAGTTAACAATCCAAACACTGAGGAATTCTTCTCAAACCAAAGTGAAGAGTTTAAATTGCGGTTTTCCAAGATGGCGTCCTCAGCTGGGCTGCTAGAGCCTGATGACGTGGCCGAAGCTTTTTGGTGGATTTACAACCAACCAAAATCCACGTGGACTCATGAACTGGATCTAAGACCGTGGTCAGAAAAATGGTGATCAATATGTTGTAAAATAGAAGAAAATAGAATAAATCAGGGCCATTTTCGTGATCAATCTATAACTTTCGAGTCATCTCAATCATTTTAACATAATTATAAATTATTGAGTGAGTGAGTGAATGCTGAATGAACTATGAGTGATAGAGAAAGATTGATTGAAGCCTATAATATCATAAACACACCGGTCTTCAACATTTAGTTTTAGCAACAAGAAATGGAACCGATTTACATTCATTTAATCGTTATCTTAGATCTAATCATCTAATCATTCATTTTAATGTTTATAATTATATTTTTGTGTGGATGAAGTAAGCATGAGGGGAGAAGATTAAGTTATAAACTGATAATCAACGGAAATAGTAACAAATTTTATCAGGATACTTCCACCTAATCATATATAATATACAGGGTTACCCACAAAGGATGAGACTTCAGAGACGATTTTATTTAGTCCGTTTTCTAGCATTCAGGGTTTCTTCTAAGCTAAAACTGGGATTTTTCTGTGCCGTAATAATTTAGTAATCAATGAATACAGAACCAAAAAACAAGCTTCAAATATGATATATAATTTATATATACTACATGTTTCTAGATAAACCCTGTATCTATATGATATATAGTATATATATACTACATTTTTCTTGATAAACCCTGTATTTAAAAAAAACAAAACTGCAACGATGCAATCGTTTTCTTAAAAAACAATAGTTTTTTGAAAAATATTCATTAATAAATATGAGTTTTTCAACATTTATTTTTAATTGTTTTTGCAATAAGAAAAGTTTATGCATGTCGTCTTACATTGATTTTCATAATCAATGTTTTTGTTTCTTTAAACCCTTTATTTTCATTTGCGGTTTCTCTGCGAAAATGACTTGCAAATTTCTTGTTTATACGAAGCAATGAAGAAACTCACAGAAATAAACACTTTTCGAGTCGGAAAAACAATTGTATCTTCCACATTTTTGATCATATTATGGCTTCAAGAGTACCATTGTAAATCGGGCATTGCCATCCTTGCATGGTGGATCAGTTTTACACTCTAATTAAGAAAAAGAAAATTACGAATCGTAAAGTTGTATAACGATTTTCTTCAGGTAGAATCATTTAATTGAAATCTAATCCTTTAGAGTATTCTTACATGGAATCAGTTATGTGTATTGTTTATTGTGTAAACGGATCAAGTACTCCAGTACTTACCGATCCTCTCGTAATCAATCATATTTATCTTATTTGAAGAATAAATGATCCTTAATTATAAAATCATAAAAAGTGTACACTGATCCTCTTACAAAGAATTATTCAAAGTGTACACTGATCCTCTCACATAGAATCATTCAAAGTGTACACTGATCCTCTTACATAGAATCATTCAAAGTGTACATTGATCCTCTCACATAGAATCATTCAAAGTGTACACTGATCCTCTCACATAGAATCATTCAAAGTGTATATCGATCCTCTCGCACAGAATCATTCAAAGTGTATTCTGATCCTCTCACATAAAATCATTCAAAGTGTATATCGATCCTCTTGCATAGAATCATTCAAAATGTACACTGATCCTCTCACATAGAATTATTCAAAGTGTACGCTGATCCTCTTACATAGAATCATTCAAAGTGTACACTGATCCTCTTACATAGAATCATTCAAAATGTACACTGATCTTCTTACATAGCATCATTCAAAGTGTACATTGATCCTCTTGCATAGCGTCATTCAAAGTGTACACTGATCCTCTTACATAGAATCATTCAAAGTGTATTTCGATCCTCTTACATAGAATCATTCAAAGTGTACACTGATCCTCTTACATAGCATCATTCAAAGTGTACACTGATCCTCTCAAAAAGTTTTTCTTGGTATTCCTCTATATTAATATGTATATTTTCTTTAGAGGTTTATTTTCTTAATATAGAGGTAAATATTTGTAGAAAGATTTAAGTTTTAAGATTTTCTTCGTTGTCAATTCTGATGTGCATCCTTTATAACCTTATTTNCCGACTTGTTTAATTGGTGCTCCGTGGTAACAGGAATCGGATTCTATCAATTCTACGATCACTTTTTTACACGCATATTCATAAATCACATCTGCTCTGCGGAATAGGAACGTGTCATCCCCTAGTCGGTGTGGTGCAGCTTCACCTGGTTCCTTCACGTTCAGAGCACAAACCACCGACTTGCCGAGAGCTTCTTTTCGTCCTTCTATCACTTCAAGTTTGAATCTTAGGAATAATGAGAGCGACCTGATTTCTGCTGCGTAGCTCACGTCCTGTGCTTGGATTTTCTCGATCCTGTTTTCTTCTGATACTTCTGATGAGCGAACGAGCACTATATCTTTCACGTTCGTTGAGAATGCTCTATATCCTCCTAACGGGATCGGTAGAGCATGTCCTCCTTTCAATTCATAAAAGAGTTCATTTTCTGAGGATGCAAAGTAGTCTGGAGTTAACAAACCTTGCACTTCTCTAATCTTCTTATAGGTACAGCTATCCACCGGTTTGCTCCATGCATAAGTATGTAATGCTCCTACGCAACCCATTGCCAGTCCTCTTGGATTGCAAGCCAGTAATTCTGAAGATGACATCGCTCTTATCTTCGTTCCTTCTATAGCAAACATCTCCGTTTCTATGGTTATCCGATACTCCATATGCGTGACGATGCCACGCTGGATCAATCCATCAATCAAAACGTCTGAACCTTGGCACTTTATTTCAGAGTTTGAGGCAGTTTGAAACCCGGAAGAGAATTCCATAATATATGTTCTTCCCGGGACTACTAATGTCTCTGTTTTACGTCCCTGGGGAGTCACAAATTGGCGAGTATGCGCCATTTCAGCACATGACTGGGCCGTAATCACTAATGTTTGCTCCTGTTCTGCACTCAGTATAGGCTTGCTATACGAGAACATTCCGCAGTAATACATCATGCGATGGGAGGTTACTTGACACTTGTAACCCCCCACCGTCTGGCTATTCACGTGTTGGAGTATTGAAACCTTCTCGGGTACTCCTTCTACTGCGGGATCAAATTTACAATGGGCAGCTTGGTCATACATCTTAATGTTCGCTGGCTGGGAGCAATCATAGGCCTCTACTTTGTACTCATCCTTGGCCATCCCTTGCGCTCCCAGTACAGCAAAGATCCCTACAAACAGCAGCTGGTTAGCTCCTTTTCTCCTGCTCCCACTGTGGCGGACTGCTTGCTCTCGCATCTCACCATCAGGCTGACCAGCTTCCCTATGCTCTCTCCTTTCTTCACCTGAACAAAGATATCATTATTATGGTTAATTAAATAGATTGCAGGTGAACGTAACACTCCTGCCCTGGGGGAAAATTTAGAAGCAAACAGATTTTTCTCAACAATAGTGTTAAACAAGATTGGAAAAATAAAATCATTCCCATTGACTTGCCCTGGTTCTTCAACTAGGTAAACCCATGTCCCTTGCCCAGGATGAAGTGTTACAGAATTTTTCACTTTTGCAATACTAGATTTTTGACCTGAAATGATATTAATTCCTTCCTTAACTTTATTGCTACCACTATCTCCTTCATCTTCTGTGTCACTCCAACTACTTTCTTCTGCTCCTTGTACATAACTACTCTGATTTGCAACTTTATATTTTGTCCTTACACTACTTCTTATGCTACCACTACTTTTAATACTCCCTGTCTGCATCCTTTCCAAGGATGCAGCTCTTGTCCTTGTGGAATCAGAACTCTCTCTTGATCTGCTTCTTCTTCTCAACGGTGCTGTAGTATCTGGCCTCTGGGCCCAACTCTCTTCGAGTGCTGTTTTCAGCGACTTCAGGGACGGAGTAATAGACGACTTTGTTCCTCTCTTGGACTTCGGTTTCTCAGGCAGTTTAAACTCTGCGCTGTATCTCTCCGGCGGGATTGATATCCTGCTGGACTTTCTCCTGGTTGTATCAGTGGTAGTGCTGCCATCTAATGGCCTTGCATCTTCTTCATCATCCTTGGATTCTGCTGTCTGGTCAATATGGGGTGGGGGTGTTTATTTCCATAGGAATTTCCCTGCCCTCACCGACTACCGTAGGTTTCATTACATTTTTAGTTGGTTCTGGAGTTCAGTGAAATTCATCAACTAGTTCTGCATCGAGTCGTTTCGCTGGAAGCTCAAACTGGGACAATTCCTCTGCCAGGTCTGCCAGTGCTTCAGCTTCTATCCTCAGTAGTTTGAAGAGTGGGTCGAGGTCCTTCTGCCCGAGTTTCTTCGCTAATCGAACCTTTGATCTGTGTGCTATGTATGTTCTCGGGTTTCTTACATCATATTCTCTAAGTTCCAGCATTGCATCGTTGATTATTTTCTGAATCAGCACTGGCCCACTCCAGGGCAGCTGGAGCTTTCGCGTGTTTTCTTGTGGTGGGAGTGCTGCGCAGTAAACTCGGTCTCCTACTTGTATATCATCTAGTGGTTTCTCATAAGACCGAAACTGCCTTCGTATTCTTACATTATCTGAAGCTCTCATTAGATCAAGGATGTAATCTAATTCTTCTTCCATTGAGTGGGGGGAGGGGTTTTTATTTTGAACAAACTTGGGTAGCAATGATAAATGGGGAATGTTTAATTCTCTTCCAAGGAAAACTCTGGCCGGGGATGAATTAGTGGAAAAATGTTGTGTTGAATTGTATGCCAAAATTAAAGTTGGGAGGGATTTTTCCCAGTCATTTTCCCTGTTTGCTTTTTTTGCTTTCAAAAGTGCCCACAATGTCCTGTGAAATCGTTCTACTGGATTAGATTGATGATTGTGGCTGAACCCAATTTTAATATTCACATCAAACTTTTTAAGGAGGGATTTAAATAGTGTGTTGTCAAACTCTTTGCCTTGATCCATCCTAATTGTTGCAGGTGCTCCATACAGGCTTATCCAGTTGGTCATAATTGCTGTAACAACTGACCATGCAGACTTGTCTGGTAAAGGCACTGCTGCAACAAATCTAGAAAATTGATCCATAACTGTTAGAATAAACTTATTTTTGTTACTGGAAATTGTAATTGGACCTACCAGATCGACGCAAACCACTTCATTAACGTTGAGAGTTCTTCCGTCGAACAGATTTACTTGCTTAAGGTTTACCTCTTCTCTGTGTAGACATCCTGGGCACTCTGTTACGAACAGAGCAACATCTGCTCTCCATCCCGGCCAGAAGAAATGTTGTTTTACCTGTTGTGTAGTATGTTGTACACCCCAGTGTTCGCGTACATGTACAGCAAGTAGAGCTTGATACCTGTGCAAGGGTGGGATGATTATTCTCATCAAGGGATTTGAATCAAATTCATTTTCCAGGAGATAAACTAACCTTGTAGAGCTTGTTGTATTCACATCTGTTAACCTGAGCTGTTTTCTTACCTTACAGTTGCAGTAATTCATCGTGAACTTCGTTGAATGTTGAGGTGTCAATCTTGCTTTCCTCTACTTTACCTGTTTTCCAGTTAAACCACGATTTTACCATTTGAATCGAACTATCTTCAGTTTGTGCTTTCTCCAGGTCCACTTGATCTATGAGGATTTTACCTTTAAAGTTCCCTATCAGGGGGGGTCCGCTGCTTTCATCTGCCCGGGCCCCTGACAAGTGCCAGGGTGGTTGTACAATTGTACATATCTTACCTTTACATGAGGGGGGTAAATATTCTGAATTCGAGCAATTATTCATTT